GATGATCCTTGTAAATGTGAGTCAGGAAAAAAATGGTCACATTTAGGCATGCCCAACATTCAGGATGAAAAATAGCAATAATAAAAAATTTTGTAAATGCATATTAATTTCTACTTCGCCTTCACAGGTGGGTTTCAGATTGAAAATAACCATAGTTAATTTCTTTTCATCACACTTGATGAAATTTTGCAAGGATTTCAGAAATAAGTAGTTTTCAAAAGAAAAAAATTATTTTAAAACACACCCATTTATTTAGACTGATTTCCTCTTGGTCCTGCCTGCCAATTACACCAATAAACCCAGGAAATAAAACCCAACCAAGAATGAACTCTGAAAAGTAGAACTGGCTAAGGACCCCAAGAACAGAGGAATCACAGAGAGGCAGGGAAACCTATGTCCTCACACCCTGCAGAAGAAGGCATCTCCAGATCCAGTGTTCCCCACTCCCAACCTAGCAACAAAAAGGGCCCCAGACAGATACATCCCTCTTCCATACACACCATGTCCCTCTGATAATATCAGATGAGTCCAACATCATGTTTCCACTAACATTAAGTGCCAAAACAGGCAATGTCCTTCCACTGAGCTTAATATTCCCCTCCACCACAAGAGATGAGAGAGGCTAGGAGGGGTCAATTGGAAGAAGGGGCATGCCCCAACTGGCCTGAAGCCCTGAAAGTCTTTTTAACCCCATGGAGATCCCCCTACCCAACAAGAGACAAGGGGTAGCCTGCCATGGAGAAACTCATTTCACCTGCAGAGGGCACCAACAGGAACCAGTGGGAGCCTCCAAGGCAGAAGATAAGCCAAGCATTCCTAAAGAGCACCTCAAAGGGTCTGGAAAGGAAACTTTCATTAGAACAAAACTTTCATTAGAAACGAAACTTTCAATAGCCCATTCAAGTAGACCAGAACCTAGATGTTAAACCTAAACAAGCTGACTGCTGGCTAAAAGAGAAGATTATATAAAACCAAGATTCTCTTCACATAATAACTAAAATGTCTAAGATAAAAATTACTCATCATATCAAGATCAGAAGACTACACCTTGAATGAGAAAAAATGATTAACTGACATCAATAGCAAGATGAATCCTGCTAGAATTATTTGATAATGATTTTAAAGCAGCATCATGAGAATGCCTCAACAAGCAACTAGAAATTCTCTTGAAACAACAACAAAATAATAAAAGTCTCTTTCAAAACATAGATGTTATAAGAAAGGGCCAAATGTACATCATACAACTTAAAAATAGAAAACTATGCCAATTTATACCAAATATTTCATTGGACCTTCAGCCAAATAAAACAAAAACCACACACTGGGTTCTGATAAAAACTGTTAAATTTCTAATAAGAGAAATAGTGACATGTATGGTCTAGAATATGTTTTAAAGAAACAACTTTAAAATCTAGTCCTAGTCCCCCAGAGTTTATTCCCACAGGAAAGTGGTTAAAAGATACCAACTTTTTTTAATGGTATTGACTCAAAATCTAAAACTCCAATCAAAATGAAACACTGGGTAAAATGAAAGCCTTGATTCATTGAAGGTGGGGTAGTGTTCTGTTGGGGACCACCCTGCCTGGTATCAGAAGCTATAACCCCCTCCAAGGCTAAGGCTGAGGGACTGACCTTGGACCCTAAGCCAGCAAGGAGACAAAAGCTTATCTCCCTGGCAGGAGCGCTGCTTCTGCTGCTTCATTCATAACTGAACCCCAATGCTTGGTCAGTTAGGCAATGATGGGTAAGATTCCCCAAGGGGGAAATGACCTAAGACAGGCATGATCATGTGGGAGGCCCCCATGAAAGGACTTTGGGGGCTACAGCAAAAGGGGGTGATGGACCCTTGCCCCTCGGCTTTGATATAGCCTGAGTTCTCATCGTCTGGGAGAAAATCTCCTTATCTCTTGGTTGCCTTATTTCCCTTGCTCCATTTAAGCCTGAAACAATGACAGGGTGGTGCAGCTCTGTGCTGAAAAGGGCAGATTCCCCGGGTGATCAGACCTAAGAAAGAATATGTAAAATCCTGTGAAACCTGCTTTGTTTAGAATGCTCTCAATTGAATGATAAGGGTCCAAGGAAGAAGTAAGTTTGTTCCTCAAAGTTTTACAGCTCTTTGACCCGGACTCAAAATAGGCTCTCAGAATTCCTTGTTATCTATTGTTTGATCCTTACTTCCTAGCAATGAGTAATGAGCTTTACCTGAATTCTTATGCAAACGAAACCAATAAAAAGCCCCTCAGGAGGAGGAACCAGGCGCTCTCCCCACCAGAGAGAGTGGCCATTTCATTCCTACTTCCCCACAAGACTTGGTTGTCTCTGTGTATGTTTTTCTTGTGTGTTGACGAGTCATCCACAGCATTCCGTGGTCACTGCTGGACGGTGATCGCTTCAGTGTTCTGCCACATTTTACCAAACTACCCCTCACTTCCAGATTTAGCTCCTTCCAGAAGCAATCCTGACTATAGTGGGCACATTTGGATAACATTCTGATTACCAATTCTTCAGCATAGGCCAATAGTTTGTGTTCTAAAAACAGTACTGTCTTATATGTTTGCTCCTCTGTTTTTAACTAATTACAAAAACCTCTCACCCATATATTTCAAGTGGCTGTTGTGCTAGAGACGGAATGCTGAGGAGTACTGAGATATTAATCCCCCAACACTCTTGTAGTCTATGGGGCCTTGGGACCCTGTTCCCCTGAGGCTGATGACTTCAGCTACCTGCAGCCTCAACCCCTTAACCTATCCATTCACTTAGACACACACTCACTTGCTAAAAGTGCAGTTTGAGGTTTGTTAATAGTCTGTTAAAAATATTTACTAAATGGCTACATCTTTTTCTACAGAAAGTGTTGTCAAAGTAAACAATCTTTTTTATTCAGTTGAAGACTTTCCCAAGAAAAGAGCTTTTTCTAAAATACTTGAAAGACAAATGCTTTCAATTTTTCAACCATTGCACTAGTTAAATTTTATGATAGATATCTTGCATACCAGTTAGTTCTAACTTACAAAATTCAATGAGTGTGCTTGCTACCCAAACTAATGTTTGGAAATCAACAAGTTTAGTTTAAATCTCCATATATGTGTAAAACTGAGTTATTTTCCATACCATTACTACTAAGACTTTCTCTAATAGAATATACATATTTTTATAAATTGATTTTGAAATTAATAAATTATCATCAATACTGCTATCACATTCACCTATGTAAATCATTTAAAAGTTAGAATTTGTTCCTTCTTCATGATATAATGGTACCTAGTGAAAATTCATTTGTACAATAGTAGCTCAAGATGTATTAGCTACTTCCCAAAATCAATTCAGAGGAAGAATTGTAGTACCCATCCTTCATTCTTCAAAGTGAAATATAATTTATAGAGAAAAATAAAATATAAAATATAATTTTACTTTATATCTATTAACTGTAGAAAACAAACAGAATTATTACACTCAAATAGTAAGCTTGTAAGGACTATATAATATTCAAAAATTTACATTAAGCCCACTTTATAAAGAATATTTATAAGTTTTGATTATTTCCCCAGTTGTTACAGAACAAACAAGGGGGGCCTGGGACGATATACTATTATTGAAAGAAGCCCCCAGGTCCGTTCTGTCCGCCACCTGAGGAAAGACGTCTCTCAATGCCAGAGATCCGTGGAAAGGAAAGGAAATGTTTATTTAATGCTATACAACTTAAAGTAGTGACCTAATGTCTTTATCAAAAAATCCTAAAATCCCTTAAAACACCCACAAACAGACACAGTCCTTCCTTCCTTCCCCCTTTGCCCAGTCCAGAGTACCGTATCTCAGGAAAGGAAATAGAAGTCCATGGCTCAGGCAGTCCTCTGGTTATTCCCAGTTAGTACTCCATCTTGACTGGGAGACCTCCCTGGGTTCCCGGCACCCTCAGCTGAGTTGCTGGGATCTCTGCTAAAAGCAGGTGGTGGTTCCCCCTTCTAAAGCTGTGGGGGTCCCCACTCTGGCAAAGGCATGTGGTCCTCTCTCCCAGGGCCACGGGACCCCCACTCAGCCAAAACCGTGTGCTTCTCCCCCTGCGCAATGGCTGCAAGGGTGGGGGGTTGCCACTCTGCCAAAGCCGAGTGGCGGTTCTCTGCTAAAGCCGCATGGTTCTCCCTCTCTCAGGTCTGCGGGAGTCTCCACTCTGTCAAGGCCGTGTGGTTCTCTCTTGCAGGGCTGTGATCCTCTCTGCACTTCCACAGCTGCATCGTTCTCCCTCTCAATGGCTGCCGCCTCTGGGTTTAAATCCCCGCGCCAGTCTTCCTCTGCAGCCCCATTTCTGACTCCTCCTACACTCGGCTTCACATGCCAGAACTCATATCCTTCCAGCTTTACTGGACTGCCATCATGAGTCTGGGCAGGCATGGTCCCATGTTATGGAGCCAATCTTCTCCAAGCTCCCACGCAGGCGCTGTAGCAGGCGCTGTAGCTCGGGGGACCTGCCCCCAGTCACATCTTGGTGGGGAAGTTACTTCCATTCCCCTGGCTCAGAGCATGGCCACAGCTATTTAACATATCTAAGCGACCAGCCAAAGGCTACAGTTATGTTAAATGACCACACCAGAGGTTAGCTGCAAGGCTGTTGCTATGCAAAACAGCTCTCAATGGCCCTGCTCCATTTGTCCCTTCCCCCAACCCACACCTGGGGAGTGGGAGTGAGGACATCCAAAAATCCCCTGGACACCTTGAGTTCTGGATCCCATTTTAAATACCCTTTTGGGGTCCTCCGTCTTGGCTGCACCCTCTAACACAATGATGCTGAGCATAATACACAATATGCAGAGTCCTAAGGAATGTAGGTTAATATGTATCCTTCTAAAAGAAAGTTTTCTTTCAATCATAAAACCATGTTTAGTAAGATGATGCCATTAAAAGTTGAATAACATAGTGATTAGCACATAAAATAAAATAAAAACCATATAAAATGACACACTTAATTATAAAACAATTAAAAAATAATTCCGGAAATTATTTACCTGGCCATACTTTGCTGCCAAGTGAAGTGGGGTCCAGTACTGATTATCCACTACATTGAGGTCCCCGCCGTGTTCCAGGAGCAGAGACACCACCTCCTTGTAGCCACTGGCACATGCCATATGTAACTGCAACAAAGAGGTATTTTCTTATTTATCTTTAAAAAGCAGCAATATCAATACAGTTTACTCTGTGCTTTAAACGGCGCTATTTAATAAAGTATTGAACCTAAAGCACAGAGACCTTAATAAAAGGAACAGACACATAATTTATTTGGGGCAAGCGGATGTCATCATTCTTTGAAAAAGGCCTACAGGTTAATTATACGTTATTTTCCTTCTGACTCTGACCATGTGCACTTTTTCATGTAATTCCTATTTCCCTCTCTAATGTCCCCTCTACTATAATATTAATACTTCTAAATATAAAATATAATAATTCAATATTTTACCACTACTTACCCAAAAGTTAAACATGTACTGACTAGCTCTAAAATTCCAGCACTCTTTTTGGTATTATAGGAGAGGGATTCAAAGGTACAAATGAGAACAGAAAATGTGATCACTGCTATGCTTATATACACATAAAAGGGACAAGAACACCAAAAACAATGAATGAATCCTGACAAGCTGTAAAGTGATTGTGTAGCTATCATTTTAACATTCTCCCAACTTAGCTTCTTAATCCAACCTGAAGTTCAGAAATGAAGCCTCAGGAACTACAGTGATGAGATCAGGGTTTGGAGAATCACTAAATTTTTCAGATACAGTAACTCCTCCTCCTAAGGCAGCAGCCTTTATTTGTAAGTAAACTATTGTCAAATCCAATTGATTTTATAATTATAACAAAAGAAAATTATTAAAAAATTATAAGAAAAAGATAAACCTAATTTAAAATAGTAAAAACAATGACTTCTAGATATTGTAGCATGGAATTTTTTATTTGCCTTTATATTTTTGTTACAAAAATAAAATTACAGTAAAGTCAAAGGGGAATCTTTTCATATGTCTATTGGCAATCTGTATGTCCTCTTTGAAGAAGTGTCTATTCAGGTCATTTGCCCATTTTTTAGTTGAATTGTTTGTTTTTTGGTGTTGAGTTTCATAAGTTCTTTATAAATTTTGGATATTATCCCCTTATCATATGTATTGGCAAATATATTCTCCCATTCTGTGGGTTATCTTTTTATTGGATGATGGTTTCCTTTGCTGTGCAAAAAGTTTTTAGTTTGATTTGTCTCATTGTTTATTTTTTCTTTTGTTTCTCTTGCCTGAGCAGATATATCAGATAAAATATTGTTACGAGCAATGTCCAAGATTTTAATGCCTATGTTTTCTTCTAGGATTTTCATGGTTTCAGGTCTAACATTAAAGTCTTTAATTCATTTTCAATTTATTCTTCAGAAAAATGCAAATTAAAACCACAGTGAGGTACCATCCCATACCTGTCAAAATGGCTATTGTCAATAATTCAACAAACAAGTACTGGTGAGGATATGGAGAAAGGGGAACCCTTTTGCACTGTTGTGTGAATGCAGACTGGTGCAGCCACTGTGGAAAGCAGTATGCAGATACCTCGAAAAATTAAAAATGGATCTGCTGTTTTATCCAGTGATCCCACTTCTGGGAATTAATACAAAGAAATCCAAAACACTAATTTGAAAGAACATAAGCACCTCTATGTTCATTGTAACATTATTTACAATCACCAAGATATAGAAGCTGCTCAAGTGTCTATGAGTAGATGAGTGAATAAAACAAGTATGGGACATTTACACAATGGAGTACTACTCGTTTGGAAAAAAGAAGAAAATTTTACCCTTTGCTACAGCATGGATAGACCTGGAGAACATCACTCTAAATGAAATAAGCCAGTCAGAGAAAGAGAAATACCACATAATTTCAGCCATATGGGGGATCTAATGAACAAACTGAACTAACATGCAAAATAGAGACAGACTCATAAATAGGGAGCAGGCTGACAGCTCTCAGGGGTGGTGGGGGAGGTTAGGGGATGATGGATTTGAGCAAAAAGGAAAAAAGACTCATGGACATGGACAACAGTGTGGCAGTTGTGGGGGAGGGAGGATAAGAGGGATAAACAGTAATGGAAAACATACAACAAAAATAAATATATATATATATTGATAAAATTCAGCAAAATCATTTGCTTATCTACATTTGGAGTTAATACTCTTCAATCTATAGTGATACTTATATGTTTATTTCTTGTACTTTCAAGTACATTATAGCAACAAATAAATTCACCTAATTTAAGACATAAACATTAAGAGGTTAAGTTTTACATCAATTTTCCCTTTCTTTGTTATATACATAATTCATCTCATTATATTCTAACAACCCAAGAATAATATATCCACAGGTATTTTAGTGAAATATAATTTTATACTTGTTCTCATAGGGAAGTAATCTCTCAACTGCTTCTAATATTTTTCTATATTATTTGAATCAATTATTTGAGTCAATGATTGGCAGGTTACTCTGCACTGTATGCCCTAACCTCTGGGTCTCAGCAGATTTTCCTCTTTATAGAATTAAACGGTATTAAGAATATTCCATTAGTCGATTAGCACCTGTTACGAACGATGTCAAGTTCATAGGATCAACCCTTTTATGAATATATTTGCTTTCTATTCATAAAAATCAGGTTCTACCATTTAGATCTTAGCCCACCTCTCAGCCAGTCATCTTATGCACTGCTCACAAGGAGACCACTAGAAAGAAAACAGGCATGGTTCACTTAGTAAAAAAGTCATCCAAAGCATGAGCTACTAGTAACATCCATGGTGGTGAGAAAATTTAATCATAGGCAATCTCAAAACAAAAACAAAAACAAAAAACCTAACTTTGAGTAAATTTTTTCAAATCATCGTACCAAAATATCAGGACATTATAGTCTTTATATTGATTCTATGGACAATCAACATCTGAATTCATAAACAAGGCAATAGACCCCACGTGGTATAGTTTCTCAATTCTGAAGTTAGGCTTACAGTTAAAAAACTAAAATTAAAAATGTCTATTTTCTGAAATAGAATTTATAGCCCTACCTTGTCTAAACTATGCCAGGAAGATACCAGGTACCAAAATGTGGAAGTGTTTATCACTAAGCTGTACTAGAATGTTCCTCTCCTGCTATTCAATGGGGCCTTATGAGAAACAGCGGTGAGTGTTGGTTCTGTAGAGAACTAGCAGCAGTTATTTAGACATACAGTTCTCATAGGAAAGCATTCCAAGCTGGAAATCATGTATTTAGTTACAATGCAGGACAAGATGTTAGAGTCATTTCACAAACACTAAGCATGAACATAAATTACTTCCCTTATTCTGCACAACTTGTGATACAGGTACCATACTAATTTTGAAGCTGGAGAAGTTGTGGATTAGGTCATTTGGGTAACTGGTCCAGAGAAGCAGGGCCACTGTGGTCTGAAACCAGTTTCTTCTGGACTCTCCAGCTCTGATACTTTGAAGTACCAAAGGGGAGTGGACATCCAAGTTGGCCAAGCTACAAGAATAACACTGCAATATTTAAGCTCCCAACAAACCTTACAATCATCCCATAATTTATTTGTTTTAATACACAGTTTGTCTTCTCCCTGTAACCAATCCCTCTCTCACATACTAAACATGTATTAAAATGTTTGTCTCTAGAAGATGCATACTATTTAAATACTTGCTTCAGTTTCCTCTTGACATACCACCCACATAGGCACAGCCCTGTTTGTTAAGTTTCTGGGCTTTTTGCATTATTTGCAAAACCATCACCAGATCTCAGCATTTTTCAGATGTGAAAACGAAGGAGAGGCAGATTCTAGTGAGAAGTCTGAAGTCCACCCAGCCAGGATCCTCTCTAACGCTCTAACACTGTCTCCCCTCTCACAGGCAGAGCAACAGGCCTAGATGAAGCCAGAGAACAAGGCCATGAGTACATTTTATTTATCATCCCATATAACAATCCAATTTTTTACTGCATCAGATCAAAGCTTTTTTTAAGCTCCTAAATTTTTAGCAAATTTTTCAGTGATAAATACAGGCAGCACAGCCATATTATTATCAGAAAAAATTATATTGTCATATCACATCACTTTCATAGCAGATATCTCAAAATATCACCCATTTTGAACTCTATTGTAAAATCATGGTAATTATTAGAATCATTATGTAGTGTATGAATTAATAAAAAAGTATAAGCATTACATATCACAAACCTAATTTCAATATTATGGTTACTACTGTATGTAAATATAACTGGCTTTCTTTGAAATTCTATGCACCATTTTTATTACATAAAAACATTATATTGACAAAAGATTCACAGCCTATACAACGTGGTTAAAGGGGGCATGGCACTAAAAAGATCAATGAGCCTGAATTTAATGCAAGTTGGGAGTTTTCCTTATTACGTGGGCCCAGACATTCTAATCTCTAAATTGAGACTGTTTTGTGACATAAAGTAACCATAAAATCTGTATTCCATATGAATGACCAGAAAACTTATGGCACTGGCTATGTCTTCATCCAGAAGAAAAGGATGAACCAGCACTCCCAAAATAACAAAGAGACAAAATAAGGTTGCTTGATATTTACATTTCATGAATAATTATTTTCCAAAAATCCATATATCTCAAGGCCAGATGTGATAGATCAAATTCTGTGATAAAACAGTAAAGAACCAGCATCTTTGTGACATATGTGCTAATTAATGTAATAGTATATTTCTAAGAGCACATATACACTCAAACTCAGGAACTAATTTTCATATTCTCTATAGTATGGCTGGTTTTGCATTTTATCCTTTTCTAAGGCTTCTGTTTTCTTTTCAGAAGAATATTAATGCAAATTTAGAGATCTTTTAAAGGAACTATAATATATTTGGTTATTTCATTTTGTATCCTAAAAAAGGAGGAAAACATACCAGAAAAACCATCTTACTAGAAATTTATTTCCATTGAACCTTTTGTCAATAATTTCATCTCCTTTGCACAACAATTAAGCCATGTGGGAAATCATGCCTAATTCTGAACCACAACTGACATTCCAACTCTGAATATAGAAATTGGTCTAAGAACAAAAGCATCCTTTGTTATCGCCAACAATTGACAGGAATGTGCAATATACATGTGCCTTATAGAAAGGCAACTCCAGAGATGCAGTCATTAACATAATACACTAACCAATTTAGACCTAAGAATCAAACTAAACTGTCACTTGCTAAATACTCTGCTCTCCAAGGGATAACTTTCTAGCTTTTCATTCATTGCTACTCTCCTTGTAAAAAGCTCAAAGATGAGCACTCCAAGACTGTGATTACAGAACAATTATTAGCAACATGTATAACCCTCTCTTCAATAAAGTCACAAGGAATGTCAAAATTGAAGATGTTTTAAAATCAGAGCAATCTATTACCCAAACCAAAGCAATTGATTATTTCAATAGCTTTCCTTTTGCTCAACAGTGACTAAAGCATGTACATTAATGTTATTTAACAGTGATTTTTAAAAAATATTTAAGTTGTAATATCTTCTGTTAAACAAAGAAAAGAAGGCTAGATTGGATTTCTACTATATGTTCAGGATTAGTGCAATACATGTGTTAAATGAACTATTAATCACATAGCCCAGTCTAAGCTGGATTTTGACCCCACTACTACACTAAAATTATCCTAGAAGAGAAGACCAAAGACCTCCATGTTATAAAACCCAATAGCCAATTTTCCATCTCCATTTACTTTACTATTTTCAGCAGTATTTAATAGTCTCTCATATCTTCCTCATTGTCATATTTTCTTCACTTGGCCCTCAGGATATCTCATTCTCTTGGTTTTCCTCCTATTTTGGGAGTTATTCTTTCATCTCATTTCTGGATTTTCCTCTTTTTTTTGTTAAGCTCGAAGTCATAGGCCCAAATCCTCTCTCCTTCTGTATCAAATTCATGATTCCATCCAGGGTCAGGGGTTTTCAGGATCACATATAGGCTAATGTTCCCAAACTTGTTTCTTCAATCTAGACATTTACTGAATTTCAGACTGCAACATCCAACCACAAACTCAACATCTCCATGAAAGTGGCTAAGAGGTGCTTTCTAATTTCATATTTCTGGACTGTGACCTTTCCTGTTCTAAGCCTTCTCTACCTCATTTGATGCCAACTCCATCGCTCCAATTGTTCAAGCTAAAAATACTTAGAGTCATTTTGAAGTCTTTTCTTTCTGTCATACTACATTTCCATCAGAAAATTCCAATGGATCTTCCTTTATTTTAGAATGAAATCAGGCACTTCTTACCACCTCAACTTCTACCATCTTTGGCTGTACACCATTATTTTTCTAAATTACTGGAAAAGCCTCCTGATTGAACTCTCAGCTTCACTCTTTCCTTTTTACAGGCCATCCTTAACATAGCAGTCAGAGTTACCGATCTTTTTAGAACTGAAGTAAAATCATGCCCTGCCTCTCTTCAGAACTCTCCAGTATAGTTCCTATCCCACTCAGAGTAACTGCCACTGTCCTCTCAGAGGCCCAGAACATGTGTGATCTGATACTGATTACCTCTCTTCTCTCCTTTACTCTGCTAAGCCAAACCTACCTCCTTGCTGTGTCTCAATCAGATTGTACCTGGCTCTGCCTCAGGTACATTGCACTCACTACTGCTCAACCTGAAATCTACCAAGTTCAACCTCATACTATATTTTTTCCATGGTAGAAACTTCATCTCTGGATCCAACCCCTTCTGTACAGCCCATGCTTCAGAGATTCATACTCTCTTCTGCTGCTCTAGTTTATTTTTATTTTTTGAGCCTTAATACATGTATTTCCATTATAGTTCATTTTAACCCCTGTAAGCCCAGTCCAGTCAAATTTTATGGGTCAATTGGGCCAAATATAAACATTAATCCAAGAACTGTTCTGTTAGTAACTTACTGCAGTTATGTACCAATAAAAAAGTAGTAACAGGAGTTTCCTTGGATTTAGAAATTCATTCACCAGACTAATCTGTAGTTTGTTTTCCTTAAAATTAAAATAAAAACATTCTTCTCTAAGTTCCATCTCTAAAATCACATTGATAAACACAAAAATGTTTTCTAAATTTGTAGAGAAAACATGCATAAGAAGGAAGACTGAAAGAAAACATAACAACATATAAACATTGGTATTCTCTGGGTGGTGGCATAATTGATGTATTTTTCTCTGTATATTTATATGATTTCTAAAATTTCTACAATGAATATATATTACTTTTATGATGAAAATGACATTATTTAAAAGTTAATTACATCAGAGACTTCCAACCAAGATGGAGGCATGTGTAAATACACTTTGCCTCCTCCCACAACCAAAAAGACAACAGCAAATTTAAAATAAAAATATAAAATAACCAGAACTGCCAGAAAATCGACCTGTATGGATGTCCAACAACCAAAGTATTAAAGAAGAAACATTCATCCAGACTGGCAGGAGGGGCAGAGAGGGGCAGCCAGGGTAGAGAGGACTTGCAGCAAGGTGGGAACTGGCTGACCCAGCTAGGCAGAGGCTGGTAGACTGTCTATCCCACATTTGCATGCAAACAAATTGGGAGGGACAACTGGGGAGCCAGACAAACCATGCAACCCAGGATTCCAGCATGAGCAAATAAAGTCTCAAAACCTCTAACTGGAAAAACTTGTGGGAGTTGTGGTGGCAGGAGAAACTCCCAGCCTCACAGTAGAGTTTTTTGGAGATTCCCACAGGGCCCTAGAAGGTATGCAAACCCACCCATCTTGGAATCAGCACCAGAAGGGCCCAATTTGCCTGTTGGTAGAGGAGGAAGTGACCAAAAGCTGGTGGAAAGCTGAGCAAGCAGCATTGTTCCCTCTTAGACTCTTCCCCCACAAACAGAGCCACAACACAGTGACATAGGTTGCCCCACCCTAGTGAAGACCTAAGGCTCTGTCCCTTACTATATAACAAGCATGCTAAGACAAAAAATATATAGCCCAAATGGAGAACAGATCAAAGTTCCAGAAAAAAATACAACTAAGTGATGAAGAGATAGCCAAACTATCAGTTGCAGAGTTCAAAATACTGGTAATCAGGATGCTCACAGAAATGGTGGAGTATAGTCACAAAATAGAGGAAAAAGTGAACGCTATGAAAAGTGAAATAAAACTAAGTATACAAGGAACCAAAAGTGAAGGGAAGGATACCAGGACTCAAGTCAATGGTTTGGAGCAGAAGGAAGAAATAAACATTCAACCAGAACAGAATGAAGAAATAAGAATTTAAAAAAATGAGGAGAGGCTTAGGAAGTTCTGGGACAACTTTAAACATTCCAACAACCAAATCATAGGAGTTCCAGAAGAAGAGGAAGAGCAAGACATTGAAAACTTATTTGAAAACATAATGAAGGAGAACTTCTCTAATCTGGAAAAGAAAATAGACTTCTAGAAAGTCCAGGAATCTCAGAGTCCCAAAGATGTTGAATCCAAGGAAGCACACACCAAGACACATCATAATTACATTACTCAAGATTAAAGAGAAGGAGAAAATGTTAAAAGCAGCCAGAGAAAAGGAGACAGTTACCTACAAAGGAGTTTCCATAAGATTATCAGCTGATTTCTCAAAAGAAACCTTACAGGCAAGAAGGGGCTGGAAAGAAGTACACCAAGTCACGAAAGGCAAAGACCTACATCCAAGATTACTCTATCCAGCAAAGCTAGCATTTAGAATGGAAGAGCAGATAAAAGTGCTTCTCAGATAAGGTCAAGTTAAAGGGGTTCATCATCATCAAGACCTTATTATATGAAACATTAAAGGTACTTATCTAAGAAAAAGAAGATAAAAAATATGAACAGTAAAATGACAACAAACTCACAACTATCAATAACTGAACCTAAAAAAACAAAAATTAACTAAGCAAACAACTAGAATAGGAACAGATTCACAGAAATAAAGATTACCTGGTGGGTCATCAGTGGGGAGGAGTACGGAGGAGAGTAGGGAAAAGCTACAGGGAGAGTAGGGGATCAAGCATAATTGGCAAGCAAAAAATGGACAGGGGGAGGTTAAGAACAGTATGGGAAATGGAGAGGCCATAGAACTTATATGTATGACCCATGGACATGAACTAAGGTGGGGGAATGATGGTGGAAGGGTGGGTACAGGGTGGAGGGGAATAAAGGGGAGAAAAAATGGGACAACTGTAATAGCATAATGTACAAAATATATTAAAAAAATAAAAGTTAATTATATCAATTTCTATGTTTTAGAAATAAAGTTAAAATTCTTCATTTAAGCAATATTTCTGAGTCAAGTGTATTAACTTACCAGTGTTACTCCTTCATCATTTTTCTCATTAACATTTCCTCCACATGACAGGAAGTGTTTGACATCTGTTAACATACTCATGGGTCTCTGAAGCTTCATCTGGTGCAGTGAGGTCACATCCACTCCTAGGGCAAAAAGAGCCTTTCAAACATAATGCAGAGATGCTTCTCAGCTTCTGAAATGAAAACTCAGTTTCACCTTATATTCATTCAATCTGTTCATATTTGAAGCTTGTCTTCCACTTTGAATTCTCACTCATAGCACTATAATTACTTTTCTTTGAAGCACTTATTTCCAGCTAGAGTGTAGTCTTAAATAATTTTCCTCTTATTATATCCTCAATTTGTGATAGAATACCTTATAATTGGCATGTTCTCAATGGATATACGCTTTAGTATAAATCAACACACACTACCCAGAGTATTTTAAAGTTATATAGTTTTCATTCTCTGTGATTTTTTCTCACCAAAATAGTTGCTGCTAAAAGTGATGTAGTATCATGGAAAAAAAGAAAAAAAAAGACTTTTGTGAAAAAATTGAATCTGAATAAAGTCTGTAGCTTAATATATTGTACATGTAATACTAATTCTTATTACCTGATTACATTTGACAATATCTATGTAATGTTTGGTCTCTGAATCTCTGTCTGGTGCAGCAAGGGCACATGCCTGTGCCAAACTGAAATTACATTAACACATGAAGTTAATCAGAACCTTACCTTTCCTTAACTGTCTCTCCTAAGATAATATTGTTTTTGTAACAATTCAACTTTTTTTTACTCTGTCATCCAGGCAGTATAGGGAGTAATCTACTGTGCTATTATAGGTAATTTTATCATTATGCTGATTACAAAATGACCCATCCATTGATTTTAGCGTAGAATTCTCTAATAATCTCTTGAAAGTGATCTAATACCATTTTTTGTCTCCATAGTAAGGTTCCTAAGATAGCCAAGACTTGTAGGAAGAAAAAGAGTTGAGCTGGCAAATGAAAAATAAAGATAAATAGCCCTGGCTGGTTTGGCTCAGTGATTTGAGTGCTGGCCTGCCAACCAAAAGGTTGCCAGTTCGATTCCCAGTCACGGCACATGCCTGGGTTGCAGGTCCCTGGTGGGGGTCATGTGAGGAGCAACTGCACATTGATGTTTTTCTCCCTCTCTTCTCCTTCCATTCCCCTCTCTCTAAAAATTAGTAAAATATAAAACAAGACACAACTCTATAAAAAAATAAAGATAAATAAACATATTCAAGCCAAAAGGGTGTTGTAACCCTCTTCCTAAGCTCTTTCTTCCAACCCTGATCACAGGCTTAATGTCTGACTGTCCTAGGCAAACAGGGTGCACTGTCTCCCTAATGCTGGGTGACCCTAACGAGGATGGTAAAAAGACAGCATTTTGAATTAACCTTATTAAGCAGAAGAAATACACAAGGTCATTTATGGACTGATTAACTTGGGAGTCCTCTGAAGAATAAACATCAAGGACTAAAGGTGAGAAGACCAGTTTCTGAGAATGTTTCAAAATAGAAAGACCAGAGTTTTAACTGAGGTAGTAACCGTATAATTGGTGAGTGATATGGACATATTAGTGAGATATCAAGAAGGCAGAATCTTTCAGGTTTGGTGAAAATTAGATACGAGAGATTTAGGAGAACAAAAGCCATGTTCAGATAGCTGGGTTCCTGGCTTTAAAGGAACACATATGAAGTATATGGAAGGACAACGATAAGTTCCATATTAGACATGTTATTTCAAATTATTTGACATTCAAGTCAAGATACTTAAAATTGCACACATAAGCCTGAAGGTCTTTAAGGATATCTAAGGTACAAGAATATTCTTAAAAACATGCAGGTGGTAACAACACATGGAAGAGGGAGAGATAAGCCAAAATAGTTTGTAGTGATAAAAGAAGATATTTAAAGCAAAGCCCTGGGAACCACCAACATTTTGGTGTTTGGATATACAAGTGGCACATCCACAGAAAACTAAGTAGAAGCTCAAAGAGGAGGGGAGAACTCTGAAAAGATCTCTGCAGGTGAGAGAGTTTTCTATAACAGAGTGTGATCAAAGTCATCAGCTGTTACAGAAAGATGAGGTAATAGAGAACAGAAAAGTGATCACTGGACAGAGAACCAAGGGGGGCAACCCAAAGATGGCAGGGACCTCTCCAGTGGATCAGTGGGGACAGTGGGCTGAGTAGAGAAAATTAGGAACTCAGGAGAATAAATGTGAGAGACTTTTCCCAAAAGAATAGATTTGAAATGAAGTAGAAAGAGAAGTGTACGATGATATATGTTGAGCAAAGTTTATTTTCTTAATTTATTTTTCAGGGTCACTTTTTTCAGTGTATTATGCTTTATTGTTATTTTTTATTGTTGTTCAAGTACAGTTGTCTCCATTTTCACCCCACCACACCTTCCCATGCCTAACCCATCCCCGCCTCCCACCCTTGAACTCAGCCCCTTTGACTTTGTCCATGTGTCCTTGATACATGTTCCTTGATGGCACTCTCTAGTATTCCCTGTTAGCCCTCTCCCATCTCCTCTCTGGTTACTGTCAGGTTGTTCTTTATTTCAGTGTTTCTGGTTTCAGGGTCTTAAATATAATCCCCCCAGCCTGCCCATGGTGAGCACCTATCTGTCCTGGACCACCTTGATCTCTCCCTGCACTGCTTTCACTTCATGCCGGCTCATTTTATAATCAATTGATTTCCTTGAACACCAGCTGGTTTGCCTTGCACTGGAGATCTAATATGCATCAAATACTCAATCCTCCTTGGTTGTCTTATTTTCTAGCCTGGATAGCTTAGGCGGTGAGCCAAGGTTAATTGCTGTGCCCAGGTGTACAGTGTGTGTCGGTGGTGACAGTACAATTAGAACTTGTGACCAGTGATTTTCCATGTAATCAACTTGCTCACGACCTTGACTGCCTCCTGCCACATGTGTCCTGATGCGACAGCATGATAAGTACTCTGATTTGAAACTGTATGATGCAGAGTGAAAATTCAAGGATTGCAGCTGCCTAGTTAAAAGAAGGTTGTGCTGAAGCATTGGGTGCTAAATAACAATAAAAATTTCATCTTGTAATATTAGAAATTTCTAAGGACACTGGCCCTCACTGTCACAGCAGAGAATTCTAAAAGTGCACCAACAAGGGGAGAATACATTGAATTAGGCAGTATTTACTGGATTTGTGGCAACCAATACAAATTAGTGTGAGGGACACTGTCAGAAATGAACCAGATTGTAAATGAGGTGAGAGAGGGGCAGATGGATGGGAAGGCAGAGGTCAGTGCAACAGCAGTGACAAATGGAAAACAGAATTAAAAATTTAAGAGATATTATATTAATTTGTTCCAGCAAACATGTACTTTACAAACTGACTGTGACAGCCATCACCATGACATATTTTCTTCTAACTCTTCAGAGTCAGTGCCTTCTGGTCATTTTTTCCTTAATCATTTTGTAAAGCAACTTCTCAGAGGAAATGCACTTATTTTTATTTATATAGGATAGATAATACTGCTTTTTCAAACACTAAAATCCTTACCAAACAAAATCCTTTAATGAGTTGGAAAGGTTTGTAAGTAATGTTAATTCTTTTGTAAATAAAGACAGTTAATTCTAGTTTCTGGAGAAAAACATTTATCACAATGGCTATTCAAAAATCAGAACAGTAAGAAGAGCCAGAAAACATCAAATAGAACTGGCACAGCTAAATAAATGACAATCAAGTTCATGCCAATTCAGAACTATATGACTATAGGTCAAGTTTTGCAGGTGTGCAAATAATAAACTTTCCAGCAGTGGAATATGCATAATGTTCAGCTCATTCCATTTAGAAGTAATCAGTGCCCAAGTAAGAGTTGACAAGATGTGAAGAATGCAGGTGATCCCTTAGGTAAAAGTGGGTATATGAACTGAAGGAATGACTCACTACACCACACAGCCTGCACCCCAATTCACTTCTGTCACCCAAACCGTGACTAAGTGACCTTCAATAGCACAAATCAGCTCACATTTGCTCTAATGAAAATAACAGTAATACCTTGCTCTCAGAATTAATGAGACTATTTTTTAAGAACTCATGGCTGCTGAGTACTAATTATTATTATTATTCTAAGCCATTCTCAGAATAAACCTTTTGATTCAAGCCATCTGGAGGAGGCGAAGAGCACAGGGAACAAAAGAGGCAGATGTCGGGCTTTTCTTAGAGGCAAGAAGAATAGAGTCACAAGCATGGTGAGGTTCTGAAAAGTTTTAAACTTTTTCTCGGACAAAAGCTCATATTTGAAGGGATAGAAATTTCATCATTGTTATTTATAGCTAAATATCAGAAAGGAAGAAAAGGGTATGTCTCTTTATTTTAGTACCATATTGAGCTCAAGAATAACTGTGGGTCAAGCAGTGAGCTGGGCAGAGGAGGGCAAAGGGGGAAAAATTGGGACAACTGTAATAGAATAAATAAAACAGAAACAAAACATAACGATACCAAATGCTCCAGGCACTGCAGTCCACACTGCATGAATGTGAAAGTTCAAAGTGCAGGGTGGATAGGGTGATTGGTGCATTTGAAAGGCTCATCTGAGGGGGGTGCTGTTATCTCCAGCTGATTGTAACCTGTAACAGTCCAAGATGTTCAAAAATATCAAGGGACTCAAGAAATACAGAATTTATGTTAAATCATGAAAAAAAAAAGATTTCAAGCACCTCTTATTTTACCAACATTGAACTTACTCATGAAATTATACCCTGGATCTGAGCAATTAAATATTCTTTGTCACTGAATACATCTGGGGCCTCAGCCTCATCTTTTCAGGCCGGCACCATGATCATGGGGCATTTTTCTGACAATGTTTCTGTTTCCAAACATCACCAAGAGTGGATGCTGGGGTTCCAGTGCTAACTGTCCTGACTTAAGCCTTCAGTTACCAGCATGTTGTAATTCTTAAGTAGACCATGGCTCCTAAGAGAATACACTTCAGATGACCTTGCTCTCATTAACTTGAAATTCAATTGCGCTGGTTCACTTCCCTTCTCCTCCCAGTGGAAGACAGATCATAATTACATGCCCAGTTCCACTAATTATGGACTTTAAATGCTTGTTAAAATGTTCCTTCATTGTTGGCCTCTAGAATTTTGCTGGCGTGCAAAAGTGCATTGACTAAATCAACAATGCATTGCAGTAGGAGAGTAAAATGCAGTGTAGAAACATAACTTATTTTATATAGTCTAGGGAAACTACATCAATAAGAAATCATGTAAGCAGACCTGAAAAATAAATACAATTAAAATTCTACCAACCTATCCACCTACTATCTTTCTACAGTTTTTCAAAGCTCAGCCTACCATTTTCATCCAGATAAGTCAATAGGATAGAGCTTGATTCTGTCCCTTCTACGGCATAATCCAATGGGATATTTCCATTAACATCCTGGAGAAGCACGTTGGCTCCTGCCTGTAAGTGAAACAGAACAAATGTAATACATGTATATGGTTAACAGAGAAAGCGGGTCAATCTTTTCATTTCTATCCTAGTCAGAAACCAGATACACAAAAAGTGTACATTAGCTACAATCCTACAGAGAACTGGAATTATTTAAAGACAAATATATTAAATACTTTGTGAGAAACTTTGACAGACTAAAAAAGTTCAACTGACTCTTGCAAGACCCCCTCATCCCTCTAATGAAACCCAAAAAACCCAATCCATGGCTACTGAACCACCCACACCAGTGTGCTGGCTGCACCTACACAGCCTGCCTTGTTTTTCACACAACAGAAGTGCCCCAATGCCTTCGAAGAGTCCAAATGGCAAATTCTTTCATGAACTTTGGCTGATCTTTCTCAAACCATTCTACAAAATCTTTAAGCTCCTTGTTCTCCATAGACACTCATCTGAGAATTGTTCTCACACCATGATATTTTAATAATACCTAGTTGTGTTTTGTTTTTTCCAGAAACTTTTCAAAGGAAAAGCATTATCTGTAGGCATTAATAAATGGAGTTTATTAAATTTGGCTGTTAGGTTTTAGCTTCAAAGGGCCCTCCATCAAGTGCCTATACCTGCTCTACCTTTTGCCCATCTCAGCTTAAATATGATAGATGTGCTTTTGCTCTAAAAAAAAATACTGATCATGTAAATAGTTGCCATTGCTCTACATTCTTTAATGAGCTCCATAAAATTTATCAGTCATGGTTTATATCTCTTCTCCAAGGGCATGACATGAACATGTTCCCAGTGTCCAAGATTTCCCATATTCCTACCAATAGCATGTTATCAAATTCAGGCCAAATGGAAGTTTCCTCCTATTCTTTTTACTAATAGGTATCTGTATTACAATGTAAATATAGTTCATAGAATACCCAAATTCATAAATTTACATAAAATGTATATCACAGTCATAACTTAATGTTAAAGTGTGGAGTTGCCATTTGTCTGTGTGTAAATTATATGCCTGTCTGTGTATAAATATCCTATACCTTAGGCTTTCCAAGGATTGTTCTAAATATATTGTAAAAACAAAACAAAAAAAGTAGGTCAAAGTGGTATGATGTTCCATGTCTTAATATTTTCCCTCCAGAGAAGCAGTGTTGCTAACCTCACTATCTACAGCAGCAGTACCCAACCTTTTTTGCACCAGGGACTGGTTTCCTGGAAGACAAATTTTCCATGGATAGGAGGGTGCGGGGAGTGGTTTCGGGGTGATTCAAGCTTATTGCATTCAAACTCACCTCCTGCTGTGTGGCCTGGCTCCTAGCAGACCTAGATCAGTACCAGTCTTTGGCCCAGAGTTAGGGGACCCTGATCTAGAGTTTACCTCATTATATTTTTCTATAACTACATAAAGATACTCCTTTATTTGAACAGAGCAAGTTATATATTTCAGATTTTCATTTACCTAAGGAAAGGAAGCAATTTTAAGATCCTAAAGACCTAGCTAATAATTCCTTTCTTCTAGTCTCCAACTATGAAAATAAGATTTTGCATACCTACCCAATTATCAATTACTAAAGAATCAATTAAGACACAGACCTATAGGGTATTGATATCAATTTCAATACTAATAGGTAGGAGATAATGGAATTATTCTTTTTCCAACATGGATGTGTTTCAGATAGAATGTTATCTATGGCACATATCTGGGAACAAAACAGTGATGATATTTTTCAATCACAACAAAAATAGATAGGAGAGCTAATTCAGTGCACTTGGAGAGAATATTTCTTTAAAAAAATATTTTATTGTTGTTGAAGTACAATTATCTGCATTTTCCCCCCACCACTCTCCCCGACCCCAGCCATCCCTCCCTCCCTCCCTCCCCTAATTCAACCCCTTCTTGGTTTTGTTCATGCATTCTTTATAGTTGTTCCTGAAAACCCTCCCCCCTTTCCCCCTACTATCCCCTCCCACCTCCCCTCTGGTTACTGTCAGATTGTTCTTAATTTCAATGTCTCTGGTTATATTTCACTTGCTTATTTGTTTTGTTGACTAGGTTCCACTTAAAAGTGAGATCATATAGTATTTGTCTTTCACCACTTGGCTTATTTCACTTAGCATAATACTCTCCAGTTCCATGCATGCTGTCCCAAATGGTAGGAGCTCCTTCTTTCTTTCTGCTGTGCGGTATTCCATCATATAAATGTACCATAGTTTTTTGATCCATTCATTTACTGATGGGCACTTCAATTGCTTCAAGCACTTGGCTATTATAAATTGTGCTGCTATGAACATTGCTGTGCATAGATTCCTATGGATTGGTGTTTCAGGGTTCTTAGGATATAATTCCAGCCAGATCAAAGGGCAGTTCCATTTTTAGTTTTCTGAGGAAATTCCATCCTATGCTTTCAGAAGTAATGAAACTTTCAAAGCAAGTCTGAAAATGAAACATGGTGCTGAATATTTCTGCTGGGCTTGTTCATCAGAATTTCACTCTGTTAATCACTCACTGGTCTGTGCTCCTTAATTACAAGATATTATTCCTTATGTAGATATGTCAGAATTTCCTAATCACAGATCACATCTTATTCCTCTTTATATTCCCAACACTTATTACAGTGCCTGGGACATTTCAGCGCTAACAAAGATTTATTAAAATGAAAATAAGGAGCCACTGAATTATACTAATTATTAAAAATTAAAGGAAAGAATTATAATTTTCATAATAATTTATAACTAAATTTTCTAACCTTTATTTTCAAGGGTGTGTAGATAATATTACACTGTCACTATATGCATAGTTATGTTTTCTGCCTTCAGTCTTTCCATATGGATAATGAAGGGAAGCAGAGTTGCCACCCCGAAATACTCCTTTGGAGATATTTTTCTTAAGATAGTTATGAAGAAACAAAAGACTCAGGAAAAACCTTTCACTTTCCCTCTTAACCTCCCAAAGAAATTTAAATAGAGGACCTTCTCCAAAAAGGAAGACAACCTCAAGATAACTACAGTTTAACATAAACTAGTGTGTGATAGGCAGAGAGGAACCTGACAAAGTCCATTTGTAGATAGTTCTCTCTCGATCCCATTGTTAAACATGGCCCAGAAAACATTTACTTTCCAAACATTTGCTTATTATCTCCCTGTGAATTGCCTTCCTACCCTTTGAAGTCCCAAACCACAATTCCCACTTTCTCCTTAGTTTCAGAATGGCATCTAAGAAGGCATGTCCAGAAAAATTCCAGCAATTGTTAATATAATGTTAATAGTATGTGCAACACTGATATAACCTGGCAGTCAAGGAGCGTGGACTGGAATGCACACATGTGAACAATGACAACTTCACTGTACTAGTCAGTGGGGGCAGTAGATAATGTTGAGTGAGCATGTGTACTGTGTTGCCATCACATTCAAAATGACTGAGTAAGTACAGCAATGAATCTGCATCAAATTTTGCATTAAGCTTGAACATTTTTCTGTGGAAACTATTCAGATGATTCAGAAGGCCACATCTATGGGTGCACCCTTTCATGCTTCACATCTCATGCAGAGGTTTTTGACAGAACCTCAAATCACCCAGGTGACTCAGCCCCACTACCGCCCAGGTTGGGTACCCTATGACTTCTGTCTTTTCCCAAAACTAAAATCACCTTTGAAAGGGAAGAGATTTCAGACCATTGATGAGATTCAAGAAAATATTAATGGGCAGCTAATGGCGACTGAAAAAACTGTGTGCCCAAGGTGCCTACTTTGAAGGAGACTGAGGCATCATTGTCCTATGTACAATATTTCTTGTATTTCATATCTTCTTCAATAAATTTCTCTATTTTTCATAGTGTGTGGCTGTATACTTTCTGGACAAACCTTATAAACCTCAACTGCCCAATTATTCTTTGGGTCTCCATTCTTATGTCCTGCCCCTAAATCTACACTCATATAATACACTTTGGGCATTTTCTCCTATTAACCTGTCTCTGTTAGTTTGATTATTAGCCACGCTACAAGAACTTAGAAGAAAAATTATTTTTTAGCCCCACAATGACATTTACAAAAGACTGACTCCCCACCCCCACCTCTCAATTTCTCTCTTCCCTACATCCTTTCATTTTTGTTTTCTTTGTGGGCTAGAGTCCCCCACCTGTGGTGATCTGGTGTTCTGTCCCACCACCCAGACCATCTGTCCATAGACCAGCTAAGCCATGTGCAATAACAACATAGGTCCTAAAACAGGGGTGTGCAGCCCACATCCTGCAGGTCACATTTGTCCTTGGGTGGCTATGGATGCAGCCCAACACAAAATTGTAAATTTACCTAAAATATTATGAGATTTTTTTTGTGTGATTGCTTGTCACAGTGTATTGAATACGTGGCCCAAGATAACTCTTCTTCCAGTGTGGCCCAGAGATGCCAAAAGTTTGGACACCCCTGTAAGGATCCCTGGAGAAATTGTATTTCCTGAATTAAAATTCTGAAATTGTACGTCTATTTAAAAAAATACCATTGAAAAGATTCATGGCTGATTATTATTCTAAGGCTGACTAACTTAGAAGTTAATGTGCAATTATAGTTGTTAATGGATCCCACTGGAAATAAGGCACTGATGACTTTCAAAGCAGAATGTTTCCTCAAAATGTCAGAAGACTTCTCTTAATATGATCAGGGTGGTCTCACTTCTAGCACGCAGCAAGGGAAATGGCCCACAGGGTTGGGAATTAGTGGTATATAAGGCATTGTATTAGTACTTATTTTTTTAAAAAAGATACTTTGAACCACTGAGGAACATAAAATTAATTTTCCCAGTTTTGCAAAGTGAAAGCTAACAAATAATTCAATTCAATAAAAATATTACTCTTGATATTGTACATTTTTAATGTAAGAATTTGAAACCTGTTTTAAATTACTATTTTTCTCTTCAAGACACAATAATCTTAATATCTTTTTAATATGTTCTTTTAACACTTCAAATTATATTCCATATGTAAGTGTTCACTAGATGACTTCCCAGCTATAAATATAAA